CTGGGGATCTAACTTGGGTCCTTGTGCTTATGAGGCAGGTGGCAGAACCACTGAGCTAAATCCCCAGCCCCTTTGTCCATTTTTTAACTGGATTTCTTTTTGTTGTTGGATTTTAGTTCTTTGTATAGGATAGATACTAACCACTTTTCAGATATATAATTTGCATGTTTTTTTCTCTTGCTACTCTTTTGTGTCCCTTGACACACAATTGTTTTATATAGTTTTAGTTTTGCCCATTCATCCTATTCTGATGATAAGATGAATTTGGAGCTTTACATTTTTAAATGGTAAGGGTAGGTTTTTCTAGGTAAAACAGGACATTTTCGCGACTTCATCTAGGAAGTATTTCCCTGCAGCTGAGAATACCTTAGTTTCTTTAAAGAGAAGAAGAGGTAGGGCAGGAAGTAATGCTGTTTTCCAGAATCAGCCATGCCAGAGCCTTCTTCTGCTTAGGTGGCCTTCTTGTGTTCTGAAAGCCACGTACCCTTATTGCATTAATATGACAATGAAAGAACATTTCCCTTTTTATAAGTCATTTTTTGGCTCTGCCCTAATTAAGCCAGTATCTCTGGTTAATACAAAAATATAGTGTGTCCATCAGATTTGCAAATTAGAAAATCCAGGAAAATACGTTAGTAGTGGTATCATGAATCCCAAACTGGTGGCTCAAAGTACACAGTGGAAGCCGGTGTGGCACACACCTGTAATCCTAGCACTTGGGAGGCTGAGGCAGGAGGATCGCCCCCAGTTCAAGGCCAGCCTGAACTACAAAGCGAGACCTTGTCTCAAGAAACCAAAAAATAAAGCAAGAGTACAGCTGTGCTCTCTTGTGCACCCACTCTGGAGTGAAGGCAGGCAGCTCCAGCCTCACTGTGTCCTCCAACCAGCAGGGAGGAATGAAGAGGACCCTGGTGTGGGCTTTCTTTCCAGGTGCCTTGAGGTTACAGGTGTCCCTCATCTGCATGGGGAGGCTGGGAAATGAATGGCGCCATCAGCTGTGTCCCTGGAGAGACGGGAGCCCCGGTTTGGGGGAGCTGCTGGCAGTCTCCCTAAGGGAGCAATAGTGGGCTCTGAAAGCAGGGATTAGGTGCTCTGTAGTCAACAGAGACAGAAGGACCGGAGCAGAAGCCGGGCAGAGCTGTGTGGGTTTACGGCGTGGCACCGTGGTGTAGCTGATCTCTGGCGCACACTGATGGGCTTCTGTTTGTGGACTGCAGGGCAGCACGCTGGGTGGTTACAGATGAGCTGGGGCCGCAGACCCGGCAGGGGAGAAGCAGGCCGGAACAGGCAGGGGTCATCCAGGAGAAGAGAAGTGTGGGCCGGAGGGGCTGCCCTCTGAAAGGAGGTAAAGGTGGGTCGCGGGGTGGGAGCTACACGGACAGACGGCGGCTCCGTGCGGGAACGACCGACTGCCAGGTGAGGGGCCTCCCCGGGAGGGGCCGGCAGGGATGCCGTCGGGAAATCCTCGCATAGTGGAAACCAGCGTCAGGTCCCCGTGAAGTGCCTTTAGGCCACTAAATCAGAGATTCAGTGCCCTTCTTTAGGAAGGAACCAAAGCTGGGGAGACGCCACTTCCCAGGAAGCTCTGCGGCTCGCAGCTGCGCAGTCGAGCGCCTTCCGTGTGCTGCGCGGGGGTGGGGGGGGCGCCTGCGCAGTGAGGTGCAGGAGGGGCTGAGCCGTGGGGGCTGTTTCTGTATTCTCTTAGTGGTCGGTTTCGCTTTTCTATAAACAAAGACTTGTAAAAGCTTGAAGTATATTCGTCGAGAAAATCTTCATAACTGCTTAAAGAACAACGAAGAAATCCTGACACCGTTAAAATAAGAGCTAGTTGGTAGAGTGACATTGAAACATTTAAAAATCAAATGTCCAAAATAAACTAGTTTGCATACGTTACTAAGTATTCTTACAGAATTTTAATACGGACTTCATGTTAAGACTGTCCCTTTCTGAAATGAGCAACCCGCAGTTTAATGGGCTTTGGCTGTAGTCACACGCAAGACCACTAGGTGGCAGCACGAGGCAGAACTTGATAAAAGCTGTACCCCTCCTCTGTAGTGTTACTACAGTAGATGGGGCTCCAATAGTGTTACCAGGAGCTGTAAGGTTGCTAAATGGTGCAGTATTTTGTAATAAGGTAAATAGTAATAGTTAATGCTTTTGTATAAACAGATTTAACATGCTTTAGTTAAAAATTAAAAACATGTTTTTATATTCTTCTAAACTACATGATAAAGTACTTCAACACCTTAGTGAAGCAGTTGTTAAAACTCTTATGATGTAAACAAAGAATAATTTTAGGTTCTAATTAATTTTTGGATCCAATATTGTACTTGACCCTTATAGTAATCTTAAAGAAAAATACTCGTTTTCTGAAAATTATTGGACTAACCAAAGAGATTTGCAAGGAGAGATTTTTGTCAAAGGGATACAGTAAATATTATTTAATAATTTTTGACTTTGACATCTTGGGTGAGTCATAAGCTTTTTTTTTTTTTACCAGAATGCTCATGTATGTAAATATTAATTAGAAAAGAGTTGGAGCTGAGCACAATGGCTGTACCTAAAATCTCAGCTACCTGGGAGACTGAGGCAGTAGGATCACAAGTTTGAGGCCAGCCTAGGCACCTTGATGAGAAAGGGCTCTGTGAAAAAGGACTGGGGGCATAACTCAGCGGTAGCACACTTCATAAGAAAGAAAAGAGCCGGTATTAGTGGACATGAATATTGTAAACCCATGTTAGAGACATCAACTTTGTCTTCCCAAATAATGTACCTTAGCTACTTCTTCAGTATAGAGAAGTGGTAGTTTTTAATACTTATTTCTTATATTTCTTTATCAATACCCGTGATTATAAGTATCAACAGTAAGTCAATATTCTCAAAATCCAGAAATGAGTGAGCTGGGGACCGGAGTTTGTAATGAGAAACATAGTTACATAGAAATAGATGGCTGATGGGGAGGGGGTGTGTGTGAGTTCTAAGGAAGGATAAAAATAAACCGGAAGCTGAATTGTGAAAGTGATATTTATTACACTGTCTGGGTGCTTTTAATAACTTAGGAAATAGATTAGCATGTTACAGTGTATTGTTCTTTGATAATCGTGTTCTAGAAGGAAGAATTGGCAAAGTGAGGAAAGCGAGACCTTGGTGGGCCCTCAGTTAACAAATGTTTGCACATGCATGCAGACTGAAGGAGAGAACGCCACGTCTTGTGAGTGACTGTGTCCCGATATCTGTTTGCTTTCTCTTTCATTCAACAAATGTTTATTGGGCCCCTAGTGTATGATTGGCACCGTTGTGGGCATAGGATCCTGTGCCGATCAGAACAGGCCAAATCCTTGTCAATATTAACAGTATAATTGGGAGCGAAAGCCAGTAAACAAAATGAAAAAGCACAATCTATAATGTCAGGTGTATGCTGTGCAACAATACACCAGCAAAGGGAATGCTAAGGTGTGAGTGGGGTCGCGGTTTCGCTGGGTCCAGGTTTCAGAGGTCAGGTGACATCTGAGTAGAGCCTGGCGGAGCGGGGAATGGGCTTGTGAGTAGGGAAGGTGTTCTGTGTAAAAGGGGTCACAAGTGCCGAAGGTCTGAGGTGGCCGTGTGACCACAGGCACCCTGTGGCTGGAGCAGAGGGGAGGAGGCGAAATCACAGAACCTCAGGGCCCTGTGCATGGCTTTCACACCAAGGGCACTGACTCACTCTTTGAGAGATGGAGGCCGGCTGGTCCATACTGTTTTCCCCCCTTAATCCTGGTTCCTATCTGTTTGAAAACATAATAATTTTACACATAGTTACAGTTTTCAGATTGTTTTTAATTTCTAATTCTCAGTCTTCTAAATTTCAGGCTTCTTCCTGGGGTATTCTGTTGCCTCACATTGCTAGTTTTTATTGCGAACTTATACTCAGTGGATTTTGTTTTCTCCTGGAGTCATTTTTTTGGTTTTGGGTTTTTTGGGGTTTTGTTTGGTCTTTTGTTTGTTTGGTTGGTTTTTTGAAACAGGACCTCACTATGTAGTTGAGACTGACCTCGAACTCACGATGTACCCCAGGCTGGTCTTGAACTCACAGTGATCCTCCTGCCTCAGCCTCCCCAGTCCTGGGATTACAGGCATGCGCCACCATGCCCGGCTCCTGGAGTCCCTTTGTGCCCCCACTTGTGCAAGGATCCATACAAGGTGCTTTGCACTTACTAAAGATCCTTGAGGGAGTTTTGTGTCCTGAGTTTTAACAGTCACGTTCTTACCTTAGAGTTGCTCTGCCATTGAAGGGGGCCAAATCTTGACCAGAAATTCAAGTGTGGTCTTGACCTTAGATTTTCAGTTTTTGTTGGAATTGTGTGTTCTTTTTCTTTTCCAGAGCTGTTAATGCAAGTGAAGTTTCTTTGATGTTACAGGAGGCTATGAATGGAGTGTGTTTAGTCTTTTCTGGGAAAGACAGATCTTTGATGTCTAGGCTCAGCCCCAGCCCTCCCTCCTTGAGCAGCTTTGAGGCCATATCTTAGTTCTGAAAATCCCACGCCATGACTCCAGGAGCTTATATCTGGGTCAGGTCCCTGTGGGTCACAGAAGCAGCCCATGTTTTTATTTCTGCCTTTGTTTTGGATATGTGAGTTTATGACTGAAATCTTCAATGTGTGCAGAAGTGGCGGGATCCCTGTAACAGGCCCCACAT